ATGTGCTTGTGTGGATTATTGGGAGTTGTACTTCCACAGCTTACTGCATTGAAGCGGGTGTCTTTAATTTCTCTTCATGGGAAGATGAAGCAGGTAAATGATGGAATCAGGGAGGCATGGAATGGTTTGTTTCAATGGAATCTTCAATTCCATTCCTTCATACCAAAAACCAAGAAGAATCGTGTCTAATTTTTATGTTCTTTATATTACTCTGTTAGATAGCAAGGGAGAAAGCCTTGGCTTCATTTACATCTCTTCAGGATGGAATCCTTCTGTGCACTGATGTTGCAGCTCGTGGACTTGACATTCCAGGCGTTGATTGCATAGTGCAGGTACACCGGAATGGAATCAGTCATTCCATTCCATGATTTTTACTTACTTTTGTAAAAACAAAGTTTTACTAACATCTTCATATGTTAATTGCAGTATGATCCTCCTCAAGATCCTAATGTATTTGTTCACAGAGTTGGGAGGACTGCTAGATTAGGGCGTCAAGGAAGTGCCATTGTTTTTCTTTTACCAAAGGTCTTGGCTTTTTACTAATTTGCCCTCAAGATTAAAACTTCTTTTTCTTATATATTTTTTTAAAACATCGTAGGAAGAAGCATATGTGGAATTTTTGCGCATTAAAAGGATTCCATTAGAAGAGAAAATGTGCTGCGAAGATGCGCTTGATGTGGTTCCCCTTGTAAGTCTTAAAAAATTTACAGTTTTCACCCTTCTATTTTGTTTATTTCTAATTTACCCCCTTGTCTTTTATTCAGATACGTGATGCTGCTAAGAAAGATCGCGATGTGATGGAAAAAGGTCTAAGGGCATTTGTGTCCTACATTCGTGCTTATAAAGAACATCATTGCAATTTCATTCTCAGGTTACTTTTTGATGCCATGTAGATTATTAATGTGATGTTTTTTTTTTTTTTTTTGGTGTTTGACTTTTTTTGACTTTTCAGATGGAAAGATCTAGAGATTGGAAAGTTAGGGATGGGGTATGGTTTATTACAGCTACCTTCAATGTCAGAAGTAAAACAAAATTCACTTTCTACAGCGGGTTTTATTGCTGTTGAAGATTTAAATCTGGAAGAGATCAAGTTCAAGTAAGTTTTTATTAATCTCTTACACTTTTTAAATATTCGTTACCTTGACTATATAATAATAATAATTTATATTTATTGGTCTAGGGATAAATCTCGAGAGAAACAACGAAAGAAAAACTTGCAGATAAAGAAAGAGAAGCCACAGGAAGATAAAACCCACAAGGCTAAAGCTGCTATGAAGAACGCAACTATGGTGATGAAGAAGAGAACAGCTAAACAAAGACGTGCTAAACAGTCTGCTGAGGATGATGATGAACTTACTAGAGATTATCGCCTTTTGAAAAAGCTTAAAAAGGGGGGCTATTAATGAAACCGAGTTTGCTAAACTAACTGGAACTGAAGACTTGCTTTGAGCTGAGATGGAGGCTATGCTTTGGCGACTTGTACATTGATGTACAAGTACTTGAGTGAAGTAGTTTTTTGGAGATATTATGCGGAGTTTGAGAAATCTTTGAGGTGAAAGAGTTGAGGATTGAAGAAGGAAAGACTTGGTTAAGGATTATACATTTAATTTTATTTCAGTTTTGTGGATTAGTTTAGGAGAAAAGTATAGTTATTGTTTCATGTAATGACAAAATAGTTGCAAGTCGGAAAACAACAATGTTTTGATTTGTAAGGCTACACTTGAAAAGAGACGGGGTTACATTATTAATTGTGTACCGGTGGGTGTATGTGTTTTCACTTTTCAGGCTAAATGATCACAGTTTTTCAATGGGAGCTGATTTTTTTTGCAAATTCTTTTTTATCAAATGAAAAATTAATGTACTGACAATTATGCACCTCATTTTATTTTAAGGGATATTGAAGAGAGAAAGATCCCATGGATTTGTTTCCAAAGCTCCTTCCTCCTGTGTCGTGTCGGGTTCGTGTTGTGTCAAGATATTAAATGGGTTGAAAGGGTTTGACCATAGTCCGACCCGTTTAATTATCGTGTCCTATCAACCTGTTTATTTTCGTGTCAGGTTTCGGGTTAAGGTTTAGACCTTGTAAATATGTTGTATCATGTCGAGTTGAAATATTTTAAATGTTGGAAAGTAGAAGTTGCGGAGGCAAAAAGGAAAAAGTGAAACACTGGAGTTATGAGATGGAATAATGAAATTTATAGTAAGTTTAGAAGGAAAAATAAAAAGAGTTAAAGTTGGGGAACAAAAGGAAAATGTGGTGAGGATAACTAAAATTAAGTAACTTTAAAAATTTGAATATTTTTTTATAATTATTGAGTTTGGTCCACTACAAGTCTATAACATATAATATATTTATAAAAATATGAAATTTATGATAAATAATATATAATTAAACGAGTCATATTCGAGTTGAATGTTTTAACCCTAACCCTACCCTGTTTAATTATCGTGTCACGTCGTGTCAACCCATTTACATAAACGTGTCGAAATCTCTGACCCTAACCCGCTAATTTCGTGCCGGGTTCGTTTCGTGACATGTTTTACCAAGTCTACTTCCTCCTTTGTCGCTCCAATCTTCGGCTCACTTTCAAACGGTAAGTAATCACTGATAGTGTTAAAACCATGTGCGATCTTTGATTCTTTGTGTATAGATATGAATATCTTCACAACATCTGAACTTTGATTCTCTTTGTATGTCTATGAATATATTTTCTGAACAAAACAAACCTTTCTAGAAGAGTTTGATATATTTATGTCGAATTGGAATAATATAGTATATTAAACAAACTATATTTTAGCATAATTGAGGTGAATTTGACTTGTTTTATCAGTCGAAGAAAATTGCGCTTGGGTATATAAAAAAAACACATGGTTGACTTGGAATGAACAATGTGTTAGTTCTTCGACAAAAAAGAATCATGCATTTTCAAGGGCATGTCAAACCCCACACCCATTTATGTGGTTAATCTGAGATCTCAATCGGCCCAACAATCCGACTCAAATGCTGTGAAATGAGCATCTTCGCTCCCTCACTTGTCTATGCCATTGTCTTTTACAAAACAAAATCATCAATTCATTCCATACTCATTTCTAAAGAACGGTTTAAAGAATAATTCATTTCTTGTTAATTTTCTTTATCTAAATTCGAAATTGTTATTCATCTAAATTATCGGGAATATAAAATTCAGTTATTATCAAGACACTTGAGACTCATTTTATTGTGTAAGGATAAGGAATAAACAAAGTTATCGATCCATCCCCACTAATTTGGATTACCGAGTTCTTTTTTTTTTTCATTCAATTTCCTTCAACATTTATAACAGATTTTCTACTTCCGATTTGAAGTAAATTAGAATTTGTTGAAAAAAGAAACTGAATCTAAGTGGGTGTTTGAATTAGCTTTTCACAGCCAAAAGTTTTTTTTGGAAAAGAAAAAAAAGCAAAAGATGTTTAGTAAACTAGTTTTAAAAAGTTATTTTGGAGTTTTTATACAAGGAAAATCAATTTTTTGGAAAAGTTAGAAAATTTTGTAACTTTTCCAAATTTTTTTTTTGGATTTTAAGATTTTTTGTAACTTTTCCAAAAATGATTTTTAGACTCTAAGAAGCTAAGCCAAACACCCCTAAATATAAAATTAAAATTTAATTTGGTTTTACCTTTAATATATAAAAATACAATTTAATCATTAATTTTAATATATAAAATTACAATTTAAGATTTTGATAATTAAAATGTAAGTTACGAGTTTGAGAACACTGCAAACACCCCCTTGGTTGGTCCATATGACTTACGTGTACCGCGTCACACCGAACTGCCAAAGTCCAGTTAAACTGACAATAACTTCCACCTAATTCCGTTGTCCTCCTCGTCGACTCCCACAACTTCTTCCCATAATCGTCTCATTTTCCCTCCAACGAATATCGACTGCGTCTTTGTGTTTGTCTATCTGTAACAATGGAGACTCGAGCGATGTTAGGGTTTACGATATTGTTATTATGTTGTGATTCATTTGCTTCAAATGCTGAAGAAACATTCGACATTCGTCACCATCTGTCTACTGTAACAAGGTAAAATCTCGATTTTATCATCATTTTGCATTTCTTTTGGCTTAAGAGACGAACATGCATACAAAATTCGGGTGGAAGATTCAAATGTTATTGATAGGGTTTATAATTTGTGCCTGTAATAGTATTCCTCAACAAATTCTCAGGTTCAATTAGGGTGAAGAGCGTATCGATGAATTTTTTTTTTTTGCTGAAAGAAAATAATTTCATTTTTGAATGCTAATTGAGAGAATAGAAAAGCAAGTATATATACTTCTTCAAATTCCCTTCTTCCACACCAACTTTCGGATGAATAACCTGATTCAGTTCAACTGTAACCTTCATAGCGATTAGTGTACTTTCTGTGCAGATATCATGTTGTAAAAGAAAAGAAGAAGAATTTTCTCGCTTCACCAAGTATTTCTAATCAATGTTCTCCTATCCACCTAAATCTTGTGGTATTTCCCCTTTATAATCACAAGTCATTATCATCAACTTCATGCTAATCACTGTTCTCGTATTCTATTCAGGCAAGGCATGGAACACGGGATCCTACCAAGAAATGGATCAAAGACATGGACACTTTATCAATTCGACTTAAATCCCTAGTAAAAAATGCAAAAGAAAGAGGCTCATCTCTTGAGAATCTTCCTCCCTGGTTACAGAACTGGAGTTCACCATGGAAGGGGAAAACTAGAGGTGGATATTTAGTACTTGAGGGAGAAGACGAATTGTATAATCTTGGAATCAGAATCAAGGAAAGGTTTCCAAAACTTTTTAGTGACAATTATCATCCTGATATATATCACATAAGGGCAAGCCAGGTTAGCAACCATTGTTAACTTTTATCTGATTACATAATAACATCACATGTTTTGTGATTACACCAAAAGCTAATGAAATTTAGGGTGAATTAGGTTCCAAGGGCATCAGCTAGTGCTGTGGCATTTGGCATGGGGATTTTTAGTGGTCAAAAAGAAGGAAAGCATCGAGCTTTTGCTGTTGCCACTGAAAGTCGTGCAAATGATATAATGTTGAGATTTCATGATTGTTGTCAGAACTACAGGGTACATAATATAACATAAAGCAAACTTCCTTTGTTATTATTTTGTATAATATGCAAATAGTTCAGTAGAAGTGTTTCACTTTGGGTGCAGGAAATAACAAAGAATCAGGAGTCTGTTGTTCAAAAGCTTAAACAGCCTGTATTAGATGAAATCAAAGGGTCATTAACAACGCGATATGAGCTTAATTTCACATTGAATGATCTTTCTTCATTGTGGTTTCTTTGCAAACAGGTAATAACTGACTCTAATATTCATGGAGTTTGAAATATTTATTTCTTATTTGTTTGACAAATGCTGTGTTCTATTTATATTTTGCAGGAAGCATCTTTGTTTAACATAATTGATCAAGCTTGTGGTCTTTTCACTAATGATGAGGTATTTAAACTCTCACCTAATTATGTATATAATTGGGTAGTTTTTTCGAAGTACAATGTCAAAAAAAAAAAAAAGTTGAAAGACAATGCTATAGTGGAATTATAGGTAAATTTGTTGGAGTGGACAGATGATACTGAAACATTCATATTGAGGGGTTATGGAAATTCACTAAATTATCGAATGGGAGTTCCGTTACTGGAAGATGTCATTTCATCCATGGAGCAGGCGATTATAGCAAATAAGGGTACTCATGTCATTTTACATTTTTATTTACATCAATGGTTTTATATTAAATATACGCTCCATGTAGAAGGACATGCACCTGGGAGTTATGAGAAAGCAAGGCTACGGTTTGCTCATGCGGAGACTTTGGTCCCTTTTTCATGTTTGATTGGTCTCTTTCTTGATGAATCTGGTGAGTTCTTTGACTTTTTTGTTTGGTTGGATGGAACTGAATGACAAAGGAATGGAATGGTTGATTAACATTCCATTGTCAATTTGTCATGTTTAGTTACTCTATTGGAATCGTATTCCTAAAGCAATGTGTCATTCTTTTCCATATTATCAACCAAACAACATTTTTTGATGGGAATGGAATCATGCTTTCCATTCCTTACTTCATTCATGCATACCAAACAGTACCTTAGGGTGTGTTTAGTTGGATGGAATGGAACGATGAAGGAATGGAATCGTGTTTTCCATTCCCTCCTTCATTCATGCAGTACCTTAGGGTGTGTTTAGTTGGATGGAATGGAACGATGAAGGAATGGAATCGTGTTTTCCATTCCTTCCTTCATTCATGCATAAACAACTTTTTTTTTTTTCGTTTCAACGGAATGAACCATTCCATTCCATTCCTTTTCCATTTCCATCATCCGAAACAATTAATCCTTATTCAATTTAAAGTTATATTTTTCTTTTTAATGATTATTATTTGGTAAAACATTCAGAGTTTGAGAAACTACAAAGAGAAGAGACCATGGAACTCCCTCCAAAACCTCCACAAAAAAGAATTTGGAAGGACAGTGAGGTGGCACCTTTTGGTGGGAATAATGCTTTAGTGTTGCACCATTGTCCATCAAACAATGAAACCAAATACTTTGTGCAAGTTCTACACAATGAACAACCAATGCCTATGGCTGTAAGATTTTCTTTCATTCTTTCTCTATCTTGTTTATTTTCAAATTTCTAAATAGTACGATTAAATCAGATTTTTTTTTCAAAGTCATGGGTGTGTTACTCTGTTTGGTATGATGGAATGGAATCATAAATGAATCGAATGAATGGAGTAATTGAATGAGTAAGGTAATGGAATGGATCATTACATTCCATAGTCATGTTTCGTTGGTTTCAAGGAATGGAATGAGTCATTTAAACATGTGTGTGTGTGTGTGTGTATTATATATATATATATATATATATATATATATATATATATATATATATATATTCAAATTGATATATAAAAAAAGTTATTTTATAAAGACAAAACTACAAAATGGTCCCTGTGGTTTACCAAAGGTTACAAACTCAGTCCCTGCTAACTTTTTGACGTGGATGGGCCCTGTGGTTTGCAAAACTTGCATAGATGGTCCTTTTTGCTAACACCGTTAGTTTTGGTTAGTTAGTGTGAGGGTAATTTGTTCTTTTTAGGTTGTAGGGACTGAGTTTATGATCATGAATAAACCATAGGGACAATTTAAGTAATTTTGTCCTTATTTTATGTTTATGAGTCTGTGGCTTTTCCACCCCTTTACTTTTAAAATTTCACTTTGACCCCTTAACTTTGAACTTTATAAAATGTTATTTTCACCACTTTATTTTCTAAACTTTCGTGTTTACCCCCGTAATTTATATAATTTGATTTTCTTTAATAACTTTCATTCGTTAACCTAAAAAAAACTATTTTACATGTTTATTTTTATATATGTGTTGGTATAAAATCAAGATGTAATTTTTTTAAGAACTTACGTTTTTATGCACACGTCCTTTAAATTCGAGTCTGTCTATGTTTCGATGTAATTTTTTTTGTATGTTTCCGTGCTTAATTTTATGTACGTTTCGTATGTATGGGTCAAGTCACATATAATAACTAAATTTCCGACACATACATAGAAATAAGCAAGTAAAAAATTTAGTTTATTTTAGTTAACGAACAAAAGTTACTACATATGACACGACTCATATATAGAAAACATATATAAATTTAAGCACAAAAACTTAAGAAAAATATTACGTCGAAACATAGATAAACTCGAATATAATACATTTTTTTAAGTTGATGAATAAAATTTAGTTATTATATATAACCCAACTCATATGTACAAAATGTATATAAAATTACTTTGAAACATAGACAGACTCAAATTTAAATGACACAAGCATAAAAAAAGTAACTTCTTAAAAAAGAAATTAATGAAACGAAGTTCTAAACTCATGTTGAAACGTTGACCATCTTGAATTTATACCAAAACATATACAAAAATAAGCACATAAATAGTTTTTTTAGGTTAATGAACACAAGTTATTAAAGAAAATCAAATTATACAAATTACGGGGGTAAACACGAAAAGTTTAGAAAATAAAATGGTGAAAATAACATTTTATAGAGTTCAAAGTGAAAATTTAAAAAGTAAAGGGTGAAAATGCCACAAACTCATACATAAAATATTGACAAAATTACATAAATGGCCCATATGGTTTATTCATGATCACAAACTCGGTCCGTGCAAGATGAAAAGACCAAATTACCCTCACACTAATTGACTAAAACTAATGGTGTTGGCAAAAAGGACCATCCATTCAAGTTTTGCAAACCACAGGGACCATTTATGTCAAAAAAAATTAGCAAAAACTCAGTTTGTGACTTTTGATAAACCATAGGGGCCATTTTTGTAGTTTTGTCTTTTATAAAAACAAAGTTTAGTTAAATAAAGGTATATTGTTAGATAAATGCATATCATCTAAAACTTGTTTACAAAATATATATCATGCAATCTTAAAATAGTATTATAATAAAAAATTGTTTTAAGCATTTTTGGGAAATGAAAATATTAATTTAGATAAAGTTTTATTATTTATAAAAAGATTATTATTACGAAAGATTATATAAATAAAATTAACATATAATTATAATATATCATTCAATTCCCCGAAGGAATGAAAAAAAAAAAAAACACCGCTCCCCCTATTAGCCTCAGGAGAAGAAATCACATTTTCTTAGGAGTGCTTCATTCCATTCCATTATGTAATTAACAAACTTAGCATAAATCTTCATTTGATTGAAGTTTCTTTATAAAAATAACATTTATTTTCTTTATTTATCAATTTAGTTATATTTAATATTACCTAACAAGCAATATATTTGAATGATTACTTCCATTCTTTCAAACTAACCAAACATAATAAGAGGATGTAATGATCTATTTCATTCCATTCCTTTGTGATTTCATTCTATCATACCAAATAAACAGCAATACCAATTTGGGATTTAAATTTATTAGAATCTTTAAATCCTTTAATGCTTTTGCTATTATTGTGTAGGGGTGTGGCAAAGCCGATTTTTGTCCTTTTGAAGTTTTCAAGGTAACCCCCAAAAAACCGGTTGATCATTTGTTAAATGTTTAAAATACCATTCGATACTATGAAAAAATAGGATGTATTTAATTCGTTTTTATTGATTTAAAAAAAAACATATTGTGCATATGGAGCAGGAAAAAATAGCAAGTCCACATCTGAAACACAACTACAATAACATATGCAAGGGGAAGTTGGAACAGATGGACAATGAATCTTACACCACTAAGTTATTAGAAATGTTAAGTTGGTTTTTTTAGTGAAAGAGTGAAAATATTTAAATTCTTACATATATTAATAGTAGATTCTTAATTCCGTTTATACCCTTGAAAATGCTTCTTCTTCTTTAGCTTTGGCATGGGGGTATTTATGTAATTAGTGGAGCGCATGAAGCATTCGAAAGATAAGTGTTTGGTAATGTACTAATGTGTTAAATGAAAATGATAATTTTTACTATAAAACCATCAATATACCCGTATTTGCATGATTGGATCGGCAAGTTTATATAACATTGACTTTTTAGAAACAAAACATACAAATATATGGTTGATAAGGGTGTGTTTGATTCACAAATTTCAAAGGAATTCAAATGTAAAATCCAATAAAATTTTTGTTTGGTTGACAAGATTATACGGGGGTGTGCAGAGATACGAGGGTTGAACTGCGTGATGAGTCGAGGTACTTTTATCTCGTTATTATATAATTATGTTATCCCAAAAATCAAGGTAAATTTTTTTTACTTTTCAAAAACAATCCAAAACCATAAATGTTTATAAAACATAGTATCCAAGTGTAAAATCACAAATAAGAGTATCCCAACATTGAATCTCATAAAAACTGAAGGATGTGTATAATCACGTCTTATCTTTCCCCCGATCATCTGAAGTACCTGAAACATAAAACTTAAACCGTAAGCCAAAGTTTAATGAGTTTCCCCAAAATACCACACACAACCAAACAAATATACTTATTGGGTCCACAACCTCCCGCTTGGATTAGCCCTGGCCTACAACCTCCTGGTTGGATTGCTCTGGCCCACAACCTTCCGGTTGGATTGTCACACGTATTGCATACTGGGTCCACAACCTTCTGGTTTGGATTACCCCTAGCCCACAACCTCTCGGTTGGATTGCCTTGGCCCACAACCTTTCGGTTGAATTGCCCGGGTTTGTTGATTGACAACACAAAGCAGTACAGTCTCAACCTAACCACACTATGTCGACATGTATAACAGATAAAACATATAACATCAAACAAATAATCATACAGATCTTAACTGATCACTACAATATAACAACATTCTAAATCATAATACACAATCTACAGGGCCGACATTAGTGCCTTCGACCCACAAGTACAGTGAGGAAAACTCACATCATAGTCTAACAAAATAGTTGAATAATATACTGCTCTGAATACCAACTCTATAGGTCACCTATACATTAAACAATGAACAAATCTCATACTACAACCCAAAAATAATACTCTTAGGTCAAACTTGGTCAAAATTCAAAAAGTCAACTCCAGACTGAGCACGCATTGCGTACTCAACATGTACGTACAACATACTCATTCATCCAAAAACGGGGCCTCAAAGGAGTACGCACTACATACTCAGAAGTACACCCATCGTACTCGGCCATGTTTCAATCTTTCATGTTAAGTGCTTAATCCCTAAAGTTATTTCATCCAACACTCAGATCTAGACCCGTAACATCATTCCAAGTCATAAAGTTTCCACCTTTATGATTTTCCATGGCTAGACAAGGTCCAAAAGATAAAACCCTAACTTAATAATCCATTAAGACATCATGACTCTTGCATGGAAGGGATATAAGGACCAAGATCATATTTTTTATGGTTCTTAATAGATCCATAATAGATAAAGTTTCCAACTTTATCCATTAGGATGATCTAAGCAACCAAGATCTAGTATTTAAGTCTCAAAGGGACCAAAATGCATCTTTCTCAATTTAATCCATTAAGTCCAAGTCTTCAACCTTTAGATCTGAATCAATATGATGTTTAGATGGATACAGTTTCCAACTTTATCCATAACAAGGTCACAAACTTCCAAGATCTAAACTTTATGCACTTAAGTGACCAAAAGTAACAAATATGAAACTTAACAAGATCTATGAAACTAATGAGCAAGTTTTAGGCTTTTTACTCACAATGGTCCAGAAATGATGTAATCTTGCTAAATTTATGATTGAATCCTTCTTCCATACACTTTGTCACTGCCTTGTTCTTCAAGATTCCACTTTCTATGGAGAAATAAGCTCATAAATGATTCTAAGGCTCAAGATAAGTGAGAGGAGGCTAGGGTTTCAAGTTAGATGCTCAAGAGAGTGGAGGCTGACGTTAGGAAGGACCCTAAGGGGTCAGAGTCCTTAAATAGGGCTCAAAACCATGAAAATAGGGTTTTTTTACACAATGGCGGTACGCCTAGCATACCTAAAGTTACGTCCAATATAATACCCTAATAACGCGAATTCTTCAGCCTAGTATGCCCAATGTACTCCTAGTGTACGCGCAACGTACTACTAGACTCTCCAGCTTAACTTCAAATAGGCACAACTTCTTTGTTCCAACTCCGTTTTCAATGATCTTTATATCCACGGAAAGGTATCGACGAGCTCTACAATTATAGCTTGATACTTATGACTAAAAACATCTTAAACTAAAATCCTTAATTTATGTAAGAAGTCTAAAACATTTTTACCCCTCAGCTTCCATTGAACAATCCAAGGTTTAAGTCACTTATCCAACAACATGGATTTAGCTTTCCCCGTTTTCCAAATTGTACCATCCCTTTCTAAGGGGAGACCTTTAGCAGCACGTGATCTCCTACTTGGAACTCCAGAGGCTTTCGCCTTTTGTCTGCGTAGCTTTTTTTCCTGTCTCGAGATGCCTGAAGTTGTGCCATGATCTGGACGATTTTCTCAGTTGTTTCCCGGATGATTTCAGGTCCTGTGAGAGTGTTGTTTGGTAACATCCCTCTCGCCACTTGTGTGTCTCCTACCTCCGCTCAGCAAAGAGGTGATCTGCATTTCCGTCCGTATAAGGCCTCGAGGGGAGCGACCTTAATGCTTGTGTGGTAAATGTTGTATGAGAATTTGATTGGTGGCAGGTGGTTATCCCCATGCCTTGCCGAAATCTGTCATGTAAGCTCGAAGCATACCTTCTAGTGTTTGTATGGTTCGCTCACTTTGGCCGTCAGTCTGGGGGTGGTAGGCGGTGCTCATATCCACCTGGGTTCCCAATGCTTTTTGAAGCGACTGCCAAAATCGAGAGGTGAACATACTATCTTGGTCAGAGATAATAGATATTGGTACTCCATGTAGGCTCACTACCTCCTTTATATAAATCCACGTCAGTCTTTCCATCTTATACGTCTCCTTTATTAGTAGGAAATGGGCGGATTTGGTTAACCGATCGACAATCACCCAAATGACATCCAACCTGTCTGCCGTCTTAGGTAATTTGCTTATGAAATCCATTATAATCCTCTCCCATTTCTACTTAGGTATCACTGGCTATTGTAACAATCCCGAGGGCTTCTGATATTCTACCTTAACATTTGCGCAAGTCAGGCACTTGCTCACGTAGTTAGCAATCTCTGCTTTCATATTCGGCCACCAATAATGTTGTTTGATATCCAGTTACATTTTATCGGAACCTGGATGGACGGAGTATCGTGTCTTGTGTGCTTCGCTCATGACTATGTATCTGAACCCTCCAAATTTTGGGATCCAGATCCGGTCCATGATGTAGTATGCTCCTTCCTCTTTGATTTTAAGATTCTTGTCCATCCCACGTAATGTTTCGTTTGCGGCGTTCTCCGGTTTCAAGGCTTCCAGTTGAGCCTCCTTGATTTGTGGTGACAGGGGAATTGATGGTCATCATTAGTGTCTTTACTCGGCGTTCTGAGTATTCTTTTTATACTTAAGGCATCGTCCACCACGTTAGCCTTGGTTGGATGGTACTTGAACTCGCATTCGTAGTCATTTAGCTGCTCGAACCATCGCCGCTATCTCATGTTTAGTTCTTTTTAATTCAGGATATGTTGGAGGTTTTTGTGGTCTGTGAAGATGGTGCACTTTGTACCATAGAGGTAGTGCCTCCAAATCTTTAGGGCAAAGACCACAGCTCCCAGCTTGAGATCATGAGTGCTAGCAGCATGGACTACTATAGTTTGCTGCTTTTTGAAGGATTCCTGATTTTGTCGCCCTTTCCTTTTATTTCCCCGATTTTGGTTGTCTTCTTTCTTTGTTTCGTTGCTGAAAGTTTTTGCACCCTTCCCATTACCATGGTCGTACAGCTTTTGTGCCATACGCTTGGCACTATCAAAGGTCAAGGGGTTCGCAGCGATCACGTTCCCCTGGATTGGAGGTGTTAACCCCCAAATAAAGTGTTTAACCTTTTTGCACTCTGATGTTATCATTCCAGGGCACAAAAGTGCCAGCTCACTGAATCTGGTAATATACATTTTGATGTCGTAGTTTTGCACAATCAGGTTCCACAATTCCTATTCGAGCTTTTGTACTTCGCCCGAGGGGAAGTATTCATCCATCATCATGTTCTTCAGATCCTCCCATGCCATGGAATTGGCCACCGGTAGTGTTAAGTCCTTAACGTGGCCATTCCACCACGACATAACTCGGTCAGTAAATATGCAAGCTGCATATTTAACCTTGCATTCTTCTGGGCAGCCACATATCTCGAACACAGACTCGACCTTCTCGAACCACCGGGTGAGGGCTATTACACCCCCACTTCTATTGAATGGCCTTGGTTTTCCATTCATGAATTCTTTGTAAGTACATGTTCTTGGATTTCGTTGGTTATTTCCAAGGTTAGAGCTCCCTGATCCACCTCCGCTTCCACCTCCGTTGTTGTTGTTATTAATATGGGCTAATGCTGCGGTAACTGCAACAGAGACTGCTGCTTGGAATGCTGCTGAATCCATCTACGGTGGAGGTGGCGGTGATGGTGGTGTTGTTGTAGTGTTTTTGCAAGTAAACATAAAAAATGCAGATATAACTGTCAATATCGAATTTTAATTGTTATATAATTTGGAATAGAAATTTAGGGATTCATGTAACACCCATAATCAGAAAGACCAAGAAAGGAAAGGAAAACCCTAGGTTAAAGGGGTCAACTCATCGATTCCAGGGTGGAACTTGACGAATCCGAGCGGGATCCGAGTCGAAGAGTAAGTGACCGACTCGACGAGTCGGAGAGTAGACTCAGCGAGTCCGGTCTAGATTGGGAAACCCTAAGTTCGGGACTTGGTGCCCTATTTAACATCTCATTCTCTTCCCTAGGGTTCCTTTACAGTCTCTCTCACCCAGAATATCGAACCCTAGCCACCATAACCATTTTGAGCAAGATCTAGCCTTGGTGAAGTGATTTGAAGCTTGGAAGAGAAGGAGGTTCATAGTGGTGCAAGAGGAAGCCTTGGATACATAGTTGGTGTGACTTTTCA